TTTGTTGCTGAGATGTTTCATCCTGGAAGGACTTCTTCAATCTGAGGCTCCTCAGACTCAACTAGTTTAACTCATGTTAGTTTGACTAAAGTGTTTTATGTCGAATGCCCTTCCTGACACAACCCTCACCATTTACCCAGGCTTGGACCGGCACAAGAGATAAACTGGCTTGTGTTACCTATTGGCTGGTTCGACGAAAGTTATTTATTTATTTATTGTTGTTATTAGTCGTTTTTTTCCCCTTTTCGCTCCAAATAAATAACTTTTGTCATAAATAAATGACATTTTTTTAATTATTTTGGAGCAAAAAGGATAAATAAATAAAATTAAAATCTGAAATGTTCAGTGGTTTGAGATCCTGATAATAACAAAACAATTTCTTTGCAGATGGGGCTTTTGGCTGAAGACATGTCATTCCACTCCAGCATCCCTGGGCCAATGGATATAACTGTCGCTGTGGTTTACTCTGTTTTCGGTGAGTTAAGTTTATGAAATTTCAAAGCTATTTTTTTATTATCCATGAGAAGGCCACCAGCTGAGTTAATAATGTTGTAAATTAGCTTTCTGTAAGTTCTGCTTAAGCAGGGATGAATCCCAGCATGAGAAAATAAAGCATACTCTGAAGCCTTGGAAGTTTATGTTTGTCATTAAGCGCAGTAGATTTTGCTAACAGACTGTGTCTACAACTATTTTTTTCTGTCTTTTTTGTACTAAGCATATTTAAAGTCTGTTTGCATATGTTTTTTAGTTATTATTTTTAATTTATGCAAGATATAGAATCAGAATCAGCTTTATTGTCATTGCACAGAAGCACAAGAAAATTCATTTCACTACAGCCCATCCGAAGAAACACAAACAAACAAACAACAGACAGGGTAGACGGGGTGTCTGAGACATGCAGCCTCACTGAGAGGCGCTTCCTTTATCGTTAGATTAGAAAAAAGGAACAGGAGGGAAGAGGTGGTAAAAAAAAAAAAAATCATATCTCACACACTGTGTCCCTAACAGGACACTGCATGAGGCTGCAAAAAAATAAATAAATAAATAAATAAAATAAAATAAAATAAACACCACAAAAAAGCAACATAAAGGTGACATAAAGACATATGCATGTGGAGTGGGTGAGGGTGGAGGTCGCAGCACAGGCTGCCCAAGTGAGCGATACAGCCACTATATACACTTTACTCATTCAACCTTTACTTAAACAGGTTAGTCCCATTGAGTAATGAGAACTCATTTACAAGAGAGACCTGAACTATATGAACTACTATAAACTATACTATACCCATATAGAAGAGTAGAATATACAGACACGTTAATATGAACTTATGAAAACTATCCATCCATCCATTATCTTCAACTTATTCCGAAGTCGGGTCGCAGGGGCAGCAGCTTGAGCAGGGAGGCCCAGACATCCCTTTCCACAGCCACCTCTTCCAGCTCTTCTGGGAGGATTCCAAGTTTTTCCCAGAACAACTGAGAGACAGCCTCTCCAGTGTGTCCTGGGTCTTCCCCATGGTCTCCTCTCAGTCGGACATGCCCGAAGCACCTCTCTAGGGAGGCGCCCAGGGGGCATCCTTACCAGATGCTTGAATCACCTCAACTGGCTCCTCTTGACGTGGAGGAGTAGTGATTCTACTCTGAGTCTCTACCAGGTAACTGAACTTCTCACCCTATATCTAAAGAGTCCAGCTATCCTGAGGAGGAAACTCATTTCAACCGCCTGTATCCACAATTTCATTCTTTCTGTCACTACCCAGAGCTCGTGATCATAGGTGTAGGAACGTAGACGGACCGGTAAACAGAGAGTTTTGCCTTACACCTCAGCTCTCTCCTCACCACAACAGACCGGTACAGAGTCCGCAATACTATAGATGCTGCACCAATCCATCTGTCAATTTCACACTCCATTTTTTCCTAACTCATGAACAAAACCCTGAGATATTTGAACTCCTCCACTTGAGGCAGAACCTCACCCTCGACCTGAAGAGAGCAATCCACCCTTTTCTGGTTGAGGACCATGGTCTCAGATTTGGAGTTGTCGATTCTCATCCCAGCCGCTTCATACTCTGCTGCGAACCGCTCCAGTGAGAGCTGAAGATCACGGCACAATGACGCCAACAGGACCACATCATCTGCAAAGAGCAGAGATGGAATCCTGAGGTCACCAAACCAGAAACCCACCGCACCCTGGCTGCACCGATAAATTCTGTCCATAAAAGTTATGAACAGAATCGGTGACAACGGGCAGTCCTGGTGGATTCCAACTCCCACCCTGAAGAGGTCTGACTTACTAGCGGCAATGCAAACCAAACTCTTGTACCGCTTGTATAGGGACTGAACAGTCCGCAGCAATGTACCCCCAATCCCATACTCATGGAGCACCCCCCACAGTGTACCCTGAGGAACACTGTTGCATGCCTTCTCCAAGGCCACAAAACACATGTAGAGTGGCTACAGCTTTAGTAAAGTGCTGCTTTTCCCTCCTCAGCCGCCTGATGGTCTGTCAGAATCTCCTAGGAGCCGATGGAGATTTTCTATCCAAGGTCTCACCGAACTCCTCCCACATCCGAGCTTTTGCCTCAGCAACTGCCAAGGCTGTGGACCGCTTGGCCCTCCGGTACTCCTCAGCTGCCTCCGGAGACCCACTGGCCAACAAGGCCCAATAGGACTCCTTCTTCAGCTTGACAGCCTCCCTAACCTGGGGTGTCCACCATCGAGTACATGGATGGCCACCGCGAGAAGCACCGACAACCTTGCGGCCACAGTTCAAGGCTGCTACCTCAACAAGTGAGGTGCGGAACATGATCCACTCGGACTCAATATCCCCCACCTCTGCTGGGATGCAGTTAAAGCTCTCCCAGAGTTGCGAGTTGAAGATCTTTCTGACAGGTTCTTCTGCCAGGCGTTCCCAGCAAACCCTCACTATATGTTTGGGTTTACTGAGCCTGTCCAGCATCTTCCCCCACCATCTGATCCATCTCACTACCAGGTGGTGACCAGTTGACAGCTCAGTTCTTCTCTTCACTCGAGTATCCAAAACAAATGGCCGCAAATCAGATGACACGACTATGAAGTGTTGTGTTTGGCCATTAGGAGTGTTTGAACCCACGTGCAGGAGGATAACTGGTGGCTCAACGTAAAAGGTTAAACAAATTTATTCATACAAAATCAAAATGCTGACAGGGCAGCTTACTTACAGACAGGTCATACAGGACCAAACAGGAGGCAGAACCCAACACCATAGAAGGACAATCCCGAGACAAAGACAAGATGCAGAGCAACTGAATATATACACACACACTGATTAGAACAAAGGACATACACCTGCAGTGACTACATTGCACACAGGTGACAGGGATGACCAAAAGGAAGGAAAATACTGAGAGGTAGCAGAGAACATTGGAAACAGACAAAGACAGGACAAAACCCTACAGTACCCCACACTCAAGGGATGGCCCCTGACATCCCAAGGACGAGGCTACATCCAACTTGGGTGGGAAGCAGGATAAAACACTGGACGAGCCAAGACGGAGAAACACAGAGGATCAATAAACCAAAAACCGACAGGAAAAAACCTGGGGAATACTAAACACAAACAACAAAACCCAGTTCCCCACCCAGAGTCAAGGTGGACAATCAGGAGACCATCCAATGATGGATTAGTGCTCTGGAGGGTGGCCAGGTGACTGTCCCCAATGAGGCAGGAGATCAGGGGGGTGGCCAGTAGGAATGTGCGATATATACGGTATATGGTAGAAACTATAGAAATTTAGCTTACGATAGAGATCTGTCTTCTACCAGCTAACCGCAGTAATGCTGTGTCTGATGTAAAATCAGAGTTTTCAGTTTACTCGTTACTTTTTTTGAGTTGAAAACTGTGCGTAAGTGGCGTTAAAGTCATTTCTTCGAGAGCTAAGTAGCGAAGCTACAATCTAACTACAGCCGGCTTGCCGTATTCAGACGCATGCGCAAAATGCTGAGTTCCATTGAAAGTTGTTTTTTTTGTCGAAAGTTGGGGTTTTTTTTCCGTCGAAAGTTAAAGTAAGCGTTGGTCAGCTTTAGAGAAACCTGCTCTCTGATCTGTGAAAAGAATGCTTTGTTGTGTGATTTTACTGCGAGACCCTCTGGTCAAAGCCACAGATTAATTTTGTGTCAGCTCTCCATTAAAGCAGAAGGAGTCACCCACTAGAGGTTTGGAGGGTGAACTGCTTTGGTAGACCCTACCAGTGGCAATTATAATTGCCCCTAATAGCATAGCTCCTAGGATCATTCAGGCGCACAAAGTCCTCCACCACGATAAGGTGGCAATTCAAGGAGCAATGCAAACTAATTTTACATTTATTGTCACCTGCATACAATCATTCCTAAGCTATTTTTTTCTGCTGGTATTTTGTCCTGCTAAATAAAGATCCCATTGATCCAAGAAAAAAAAAAATAGGGCAAATGAATGCCAAGCCCTATTATTAGCAGTGCTAATGAACCGAAATAAACCAGGACCACATGTGCACCCTCTGGCTCCAAAGAGATTCACAGACATTAATGTGGCAACCATAAAATTTTCTTAATTTTTTCAGTGTTATGGAACCCATTAATTTAGCCTAAATACATTAGAAATAAGTAAATAGTCTTAAAACATTAAACTCGACCTGCATATGAGGCGTATTTAAAGCACGTAATAAACACAATGAGTAAAATAAATTTAGGTTTTGCAACACATACTGTGGACATAGACATATAAAAAGTGCATGTTTCTTTTTTGCAGGAGTATTTTCACTGTTTGGCAACAGCACTTTGCTGTACATCTCCTACAAGAAAAAGCACCTCCTGAAGCCTGCAGAGTACTTCATCATCAACCTCTCTGTGAGTGACCTGGGCCTCACTTTGTCTCTCTACCCTTTGGCGATTACTTCAAGCTTCTCCCACAGGTACTAAACTTATCTGCTGCTGCATGAAAGTAAAAGAGCAGAACAAAGAGCACCATGGGAGAAATTGGATATTTTCTGCTAAAATGCAAATATGCTGTTTTTAAATTTAGATGTCACACTTCCTTTAATAATTATATTGGTTTGCAGCACAACCAGGGAGATCACAGACATGGAGTGTCATGTTTAAGCTTCTGTTTTCTAATACTGCTCTCACCTCCCCCTTGATTGATCTTTCCGCTTTGTCTTTGCACTGTTCTCTCCCCACTCCCCAACCCCCTTGCATTCCCATGCAGGTGGCTGTATGGCAAAACAGTATGCTCCATTTATGCATTTTGTGGCATGCTGTTTGGCCTCTGCAGTCTGACCACCCTAACCCTGCAAAGCATGGTGTGTTTCATGAAAGTGTGCTTTCCACTTTATGGTAAGTCCTTCAAGCAGCTATGTTTGCCCAGCAGCATCATTAACCATCACATACCTGAAAGCGGAACTGATAGTTGATTTATCTATGGAAAGGAAACAGATAATCCTTCTGTGGAGCACAAATGAGCCTTACTTTGATGGCTGGCAAGTGAAGAAGCTGATGTCAATAAGTATTGCTCGAGATGTTGGTCGATGTAACACAGCTGGGCCTTTAATGTGGCCTGAAGAGAGTGAATTATGGTCTCACACAAAGGTTTCATGTACTTAACACTTTATTATAGGCACTTAGGCACAATCACATTCAAAATACTGCATTCACTTGAAATCACTTGATCAATAAATTGAAATTTTCTTTAGAAATGTAAAAAAAAAAAAAAAGATGTATCCAAACACTTACTTCAAGGCTAAAACTATAAGTGAAAACCAGTCTTGACTGTGTACATGTAGTGTAAGAATGATAAAAGAATGCACACACAAGGCGTTGCAACTTTTAATTAAAAAAGGGAGAATACACATTCTTCCAATCTCAGCTAAAAATTTCAGATATGGGTTTTATGAATTTGGTCCAATGTACTTTGCTTTATTTTTTGTCCAACTTGGGAACAGTTGAGCTGCAGTCTAAAGATGGTACCCTTGGGTGCAAATATTACTAACATTTCATTGCAAGATGCACCATGTAAAAATGTTAAATGGACTGTACAGCTCCTTTCTATCTTATCAACACAATCAAAGTTCTTTACATTACAATCTGTGCCCTCATTTAACCATTCATACAGCACTCTGCTATTTCTATACAAAGAACAGTCAGTGCTTTATCACATTCATACAATGATGGGACACACATCGGAGGCAATGAGGGGTTCAGTGTCCTGTCCAGGGACACTTGGGCATGCGACTGCTGCTGGAATCGAACTCCCAACACTTGCATTGCAGGACCATTGCTCTAACCACTCAGCCACAGCCACGTGAAAAAGTGAATAGCTAATGGTTAGATGGCTATTGGGTATGGCAAGCTATTTTTGGACTCCATGTGGCTGCTTACATGCTTTCATCCAACAAGCAATCCAACTGTAAGCTTGCTGACTGCTGTCTGTTGAAATAATTACTACTCATAACCCCACTTTGACACTCAAACACTCAAAGTGTTCATTTAACTCGTTCTCTGTGATCAAGCTTCACTCTAATGGCCACTTGATTTATTACAACACGGGAAACTCATTCAAGGACCGTTTGTGTTAACTTGGAGGCATGTACAGGCATCAGTGTTGCTTGGCAACCTATATTCATACAGAACTGAGAGGCATGTCATTTCAGAAACATGTTTTGATTGTTCCATTCAAAGTCAGTGCTTAGTTGTCAGCTGGAAATACTTTTTTTATGAAGAGCTGTACATGTTTTAAAAATGCTGTATTTTCAAGGACAAAATCAGAATAGAGGGCGCTCAAACACAGCAGTGCAGCAGCAGATACATTAAATTTGTGATAAATGTAATTTCCTGGTCAGGAAAAAGGAAAAGAACAACTACTGTGTTTCATCTCATTACATAAGCCAGGACATTTGGGGCCTTTATATCAAGTTGAAGCACTCCTTTTGAGCCAAACTTATAGTTCAGCTACTGTTGGTGACAGAAAGGATGCTTTTTAAGAGTTTTGTCTTACGTTCTTTAATTTAGGCTTGCCCTTTGTATAAAACATGCAATAAATTAAAGGTTTTATCACAAACATATAAAATAATGTAAGTTATTGTTAATATATGCAACTGATGCAGATTTATCCATGTGAAACAACATGAGCATCATGGCAACCTCATTAAAAAAAAGAACTGTATGCCTCATCTTCTATCTGTTCAAATAAGGACAACATGACAAATACCCACCATGAAAAGCTGCCAGAGTGTGCGCCGTAGTCTCTTGAAGGATTACCTCATTATCTGTGTTACTGGAAAAAGGCTAATGCTTTTGGCTTAAACTAATACTATAAATGAGAAAAAAAATTGTCTAGTAAGAACGTCTGAGAACACATAGATGATGGAAGCAATTTGTGAACTTATCTAGAAATCATTCATTTTCCTTGATATTAAAATCTAAACTCATTTTGTTTTGTCAGGTAACCAATTTAAGTCTCTTCATGGCCAGCTGCTCATCGCCTGTGCTTGGGTCTATGCTCTGTTGTTTGCCTGCTCCCCGCTGATCCACTGGGGAGAATATGGACCTGAGCCTTATGGCACCGCCTGCTGTATCGACTGGCGCCTGTCCAATCAGCACACCTCAGCACGCACTTACACTGTGGCACTGTTCATTTTCTGCTACATCCTTCCATGCTGCATTATTGTTGCATCCTACACAGGCATTCTGATCGCTGTACAAGCATCCCGGAAGACCATGAAGCAGCATGCGTCAAGACAGACACACAGGAACAGCATCCAGACAATAATTGTTAAGGTGAGATAGGAATCTAGGATCTAAAAAGTGTTTCCCTGTCCCAGCATTCAGTATCTATTTCATTTCATCATGTAGCAGTGACATCAGTCAACCAGTGTTAGGAGTCAGCCACTTTGCCTTTTATTTAAATTTCATTTAAACTTCATTTGTTGAAACATTTTCAAGTGACCGGCTCTACATCAGAAAAACCTTTGAAAAAGCAAAAACAATAGCAAGAATTGTTTCAGGTTTTACTGTAATGAAATGCTAAGTTACATTTGCCTTTACCCTTAGGCTATGATAAGCCATGAAAATAAATTAAAAATAGGATTCTGATAAGACAAATGCTGTAAGGTGCCTTCCTCATCAGTCTTAGTCAAAGCAGTCTGAACTCATGCATTTAATTTTACAACAAGTACATTATTAGTTTATAGTATGTTTTAAAATAATGTTTAATCCTAATATAACTATTACAGGTCTCTCTTGAAAATGAGTCCTCATGACTCAATGAGACCAACCTGTATTCATACAGGTTGAATAAAAACTGTCATTAAACCTAATAAAATAATATCAAGACCAAGTGTTTGGGTGTAAAACTATACTTAAAGCCATCCTTGAGCAATACACTGTAACTAATTCATATACATTCAAAACAACATCTAAAGTGTTGGATAATATTCCTTCATTGTTGGACACTGCGCATGATTTTAAAACAATGTAGCGCTTTAACAAAGTGAAGCATATTTTAAGCAAAATCTTATCAGGGAAAGCTCATCTTCATTATTTTAAGGCTACAAGCTGCAGGTCCCCTCGCCTTTCTCTCTTCAACTTGGACTTGAACGTTGTAAAAGCATGAGTAGAAATAACCGTGTTAGAAGGCATCTTCACTTCCTCTGGCTTCTGGCAGCACTTTTTCACTCAGGCCCAAGCAGAACCCAGAGAAGCCAAATTATTATTATTTTTTTTTATTTTGCCTTGACTATATTAAAGTTTTATTAAATATGTCAAACTAGATTTGCCAAACTATGCTCTAAATTAACATGTGCTGAAATGTAGTTATAAATGTATTTCAGGTAATTTTTCTATCTGTGCTTCTTTTTTATCTCCAAGCTGAGTGTGGTGGTCTGCAGTGGTTTCTTCGTGGCGTGGAGTCCTTATGCTGTTGTTTCCATGTGGGCTGCCTTTGGGCGGATTGAAAACATCCCCCCTCTTGCATTTGCAGTACCTGCCATGTTTGCAAAGTCCTCCGCTGTCTACAACCCAATCATCTACTTAATGCTGAGACCGAATTGCCGCAGGATGATGTGCAGAGGCCTAGGCACGCTGTTTGAACTATGCCTTAAGGGCTGCCTTTGCCTCAAGCAGCACGCAAAGTGCTGCTCAAAACCAATGATCAAGGTCAGACTTGGCACAGCTCATCGACAGAGCAACCTTCCTTCATCTATCTCTGCTGCTCATTCACCTGTAGTAACTATAAAGGATTACAGCTGCCAGAGGTGCGAGAATAGTTTTGAACACTTTAGACTCTACCCTCGAATATGTGGTATTGCTAATCCAGCTGCCAATGGAGACTCATCCAAAGATCAACTTTCCCAAGCACATACCCGGGTGTCAGAAAGTAAAATGGCCATTATAAATACTTCAAAGACAAATACCTTCAATTTTCATTTAGAAATGGCTCAAAGGAACACAAAACAGGCTTGGTCTTGATGGTATTTATTATGTGAGTTTGTAAGTTTTATTCTTGTATATGCATGGTTACGTTTAGGAGATCATGTTCAGGGATTTCCAAAATGTTCCTCACATGTTGAGGCAGCAGTCAAGTGATGTATTCTAACATTTGTTTTGCTGATCTTCTTGTTTGTCTCTGTGTTGTTCTTGTGAAAATGTTGATTTACTTTGGCCAAAGTAAAAGAAAGCTAAATGAAAACGAGTCCAGGCTTTTGGATTGCTTTCCAAAAGCTTATATTTGACTTTATCTTAAGTTGAGGCTTATTTTATACATAAAAGCCATTATACCAGAGCAGAACAAATTACAGCAGAAAATTTTGCTGATTGTTTTTTTTAACCAGCTGAATAAATTCCCCATTTTATTTGCAGGTTCTCAACAGCTTAATTAGGTTAATAGAGCAAAATAAAATGTCTATGTAAAATATTTTATAATAACTATAGAAAAAAAAAACTGTAAAGAGTTGGGCTACTACAGCAACAGTGATCTCTCTAAACAGTGATTAGAAAGACATGTAGGATGGTACTTGGTATGTCATCTGGACAGAGGAAAAAAACAGAAACTTTGTGGAATAGTGAAGTGCAGGAAGTAACCCAGAGGAAGAGGTTATCCAAAAAGAAATGGGACTATGAGAGGACTGAAGAGAGTAGACAGGAATATAAGGAGATGTGACGCAGGGCAAAGAGGGAGGTAGCAAAGGCAAAACAGAAGGTGTATGATGAGTTGTACAAGAGGTTGGACACTATTTATTTATTAATCTTTTTATTTAACCAGGCAAATCCCATTGAGATCACAGATCTCTTTTGCAAGGGATGCCTGAAGGCAGACTAACATGCATATTTTTGATGTGTGGGAGAAAACCGGAGTACCCGGAGAAAACCCACGCAAGCATAAGAAGAACATGCAAACGCCACACAGAAAAACCCAAGGTCCAACTGGGGATTGAACCCAGGACCTTCTTGCTGTGAGGCAACAGTGCTAACCACTGATCCATCATGCAGCCAAAGGTGAGCCACCAGGAGTGTGTGGTTGTGGTGGGTGATCAAGCTTGTTCAAGATAGAAATGGTAATGTTCTAACATGCAAGGAGGGTGTGATGGGATTTGTTTGCTCTGGTGATGGACAGAGTAACAATCCTCATGGACTGTGACATTTGACAAGACCTGCAGTGAAAACAAGAAACAGGTGGAAGAAAACTGGAGAGTTGGAGGTATGTACATGAAAGAAGTACATGGCACATGTGAGTAAATGACAGGGAAGCAGGTGAAACAGTGAGGATGCAAGGAGCAGAGGTCACAAAGGTGCAGGACTTCAAGTACTTAATCATCTGTCCAGGAAAATGGGGAGTGTGGTAAAGAGGTGAAACAAAAGAGTCCAGGCAGGATGGAGTGGATGGAGAAAAGTTTCAGGAGTGATTTGCAACAAAAGCATGTCAGCAAAGGTCAAAGGAAAAGTTTACAAGACAATTGTGAGACCAGCTGTGTTGTATGGTCTGGAGACAGATAAACTGGCTCAAAGAAAGGAGAGAGAAATGGAAGTAGCAGAAATGAAGATGTTGAGGTTCTCCTTAGGAGTGACAAGGATGGATTAGATTAGGAATGAGATCATCAGAGGTACAGCACAGGTTGAACAACTGGGAGATAAAGTTAGAGAGGCCAGACTGAAATGATTTGGACATGTCCAGAGGAGGGACAGTGGGTATATTGGTAGAAGGATGTTAGAAATGCAGCTGCCAGGATAAAGACAAAGAGGAGATATATGGATGCAGTTAGAGAGGACATGGAGGTAGTTGGGAGTGAGGACAGAAGATGCAGGATGACTCACTGTGGAGACCCCTGAAGAGGGAGCAGCCAAAGAAGAGGAATTAAATTGGCTACAATATAATTTGACAGTGACTTCCATCTTATTGTATACAAAAGGTTTGGTTTACTTCATATTGTACTGTAATAATGTGTGAGATGTTTGACATGTCTTCACTTATTTTAGCATCTAAACAGGTTGTGTAGAAGTAAACTATTTTACCTGAATGCATTGAATCTTTCACAGTTCAAGCATTGTTTACCCTAAACAACTTCAAGTAAGAGTTTTGTGCTTTATTACAACACTCTCAGTGTTATTATTGAAGATAGTTACTTTAAAATGATCTATTTCATTAAACGTACAATAAAATGTGTTTGTTAAAGAACAATGCCCATTTGTTTTAGCAAATCCTAAAGGTTTAAAATCATTTATTCATAGAAAAGAAAAAATTTTTTTTTAGCACTTCCTGTTTCTGTTTCCCTGAGTTTCATGGATGTTTTATTTTCTAAAATTCTGTGTTTACATTATTTCAAAGACAACCATTTGACACTCACCTTAAATTAAAAAAGCAATATAATAAATGTAAGAAAATCTTAAATCTATCATCCATCCATCCATCCATCCATTTTCTTCTGCTTACCTGGGGTCGGGTCACAGGGGTAGCAGCCTAAGTAGGGAGGCCCAGACTTCCCTCTCCCCATCCACTTGGTCCAGCTCCTCCGGGGGAATCCCGAGGCGTTCCCAGGCCAGCCGAGAAACATAGACCCTCCAGCGTGTCCTGGGTCTTCCTCTGGGTCTCGTGTCCGGAACACCTCACCAGGGAGGTGTCCAGGAGGCATCCTAGCCAGATGCTCGAGCCACCTCAACTGGCTCCTCTCGACGTCGAGAAGCAGCGGCTCTACTCCTGTCTCTCCCGGATGATCGAGCTTCTCACCCTGTCTCTAAGGGAGAGCCCAGACACCCTGCGGAGAAAACTCGTTTTGGCCGCTTGTATCCGAGATCTCGTTCTTTCGGTCACGACCCAAAGCTCGTGACCATAGATGAGGGTAGGACCTCCTCCCTGACCCGGAGAGGGCACGCTACCCTTTTCCGGCTCAAGACCATGGCCTTGGATTTGGAGGAACTGATCTTCATCCTGGCCGTGTTGCACTTGGTTGCGAACCGCTCCAGCGAAAGCTTTAAATCACGATCTGATGAAGCCAATAGGACCACATCATCTGCAAAAAGCAGAGATGCAATCCTAAGGTCACCAAAACGGATCCCCTCAACACCTTGGCTGCACCTAGAAATTCTGTCCATAAAAGTTATGAACAGAATCGGTGACAAAGGGCAACTTTGGCGGAGTCCAACTCTCACCGGGAACAAGCCCGACTTACTGCGGCAACGAGGACCAGGCTCTGACACCGGTCATAGAGGGACCTAACAGCCCGTATCAAAGGGCCCGGTACCCCATACTCCAAATCTATCATTTGTGTCACAAATATTGCTATTATTTCAAAGAATTATTTTTATTTTATTTACTTTTAGATATCCAGTAAGTTAATTGTAGAAACTGTCCAAAACTACTGGTATATAAGCACTTTATTTGTACTTCGTAAAACTATTAAAGTTCCATTAAAAAGATTTCCATTTGTAGTTTGAGAACACAGAAGGAAAACATTTGTATCTTATTCAGTTTCAATATTTTGCAAATTTTGTCTTTGGTGCAAGAACTTTTACACTTAACTTAAAGCAAATGAAGAACACACTAATATAACAGCAGCTCTGTTTTCTATCATGCAACATATTGTTGACCAGGAGCTCATTGCATGACATAATAGACATACCAGGAACAGTGTTTTGCATTTAAAATTAATTATTTAGCACCAAAAAAAAGGAAATACACACTGCAATGTTAAAAACACATGCACATTGTTTATTTTGAATAACAACATAGCATTCCAGTAGTAGAACACATTTAACAAAGCTTTTGGAATTGAGAATATAAAACATGCTTGAAATTTATTGTGGTAAACAATATCACTTTGCAGCTAAAGCTGCATCATTAAAGTCATAATAAACATTTAATAAAAATGTAAAAAGACATGACAACACCACCTGTTTTCAGAAGTAGAAAAAAATACCTCATTATCCAAACTGTTGTACAGCAACAATCAGACCATCAGATTAAAGCTAATTACAGTAAGTCCTGAAGTAAACATCCAATAAGTACTGAGAAGTACATTCATAATGGTACATAATGTGTAACCGGCTTAAAATACAAGTGAACAAGTGCTTTACAAAGTTGCCTAGTGCTTCTTCAAACTTTTACAAGCTTCTCGAAAAGGACCCAGTCAACCATCTACCCTTTTTTAATCCACCAGAAGGCTCGCCAGTCACACAAACAAGTGTGCTTCAGGATCTGCTTCAGGTTTATTTTCCTGGGGCAGATGATACTTCACAGCCTGTCACAGTCGCTAATCCCCCGAACCCAAAAGAGGATGACTGCACCATTATTATGCAACCATTATTACTAAAGGCAAGGTAAAATGGGTAATTAATATGTCTGACCCTTTTAAAGCTTGTGGTCCAGATGGTATCTTACCAGTTCTCCTTCCAAAGGGGACTAGAATTGCTTCTGGATACTATCACTAGAATATATGTTGCTTGTCTAGACAACAGTCATGCACCGATTGTGTGGAGGACAGAAAAAGTTGTCTTTTCTGCCCAAACCTGGTAAGCCAACATATAGAGCAGCAAAATATTTCAGACCCATCAGCTTAACATCCTACCTGCAGAAGGGAATGGAGACGTTGATAGATCAACATATATCGTATCCTAATGCTATCACCTTTAAGTTCTAAACAGCATGAATATCAGGCAGTTCTCTCCACAAAAAGAGCCTTGCATGATGCAGTTTTACAAACAGAACACAGATTGGCGCAAGGATCATGTGTTTGGCTGCTTCCTGGATATACAGTGGTCATTTGATAATGTACCCTGAAGCTATAAAGAGAGCATAAGCCAGCAAAGGAATTAATGAGACAAATACAAATTGGCTCATTTTCATGCTTCAGGCAAGAAAAGCATCTTGAACTCTGGGGAACAGTACAGCAACCATCAGTCTCAGACGAGGCTGTCAACAGGGAGGACTAATCTCCCCCGTGTTGGCTCTTGGTGGTCGACAGCCTTCTAAGTGAGTTGGATAGATCTATACTCCATACACAAGGGTATGCAGATGATTTGGTCATACTTATAGAAGGCTTCTGCCTGGGTACTGTATGTACTGTAATTTCCAGACTATTAAGCGTACCTAAATATAAGTTGTGCCCACTCAATTTAAATAGGAAAAAAAAAATTGTACATATATAGGCCACACTTGTTTATAAGCTGTGGGTGTCCACGTTGTAACATGAGAGATTTACACAGAAAGATTTTTTTAACTTTAATTAAATACGTACCAGTAACATTCACAAATATGTACAGTAAATGTTGTTTTTTCTTAACAGTGCCTGCAACATGGCTGGTAAAAAATTAAATAAAACACAGTAGCCTACCAAGAAGTCATTGATCGCCATCTTCCTCCTGTGCACTGTGCCCTTGAGCTTGTGCTGTCCTCCGTTTCACCCCAAGAGGGGGAAAACCAAGTTGCCCCAACTCCCCAGTGGACTATTGGTCCACTCTGACCTGTTCGGTAATTTTATTAGTCAACTGTTTTTTTTTTATTAACCTTTATTCATGCAGGTAGTCTCAGTAGCTATGTTCACATGGACATAATTAACCGGAGCAAACGGCCGTTCAGAATAAAAACACGTCTTGTAAACACCCCGTTCGGGTTGTTTTTTATTTATTCAGCGTGATCCAAAGTAATTTGTGATCAGAACAAAATGGGTGGTTTACGCCGATTCATAACCTGAACAGTGCGCATGTAAACGCTTGATCCGTTCAGTTTTTTCTGATGGTGAAAAACTGACCTGACTGTGCATGTGCGACTTTGTCAGTTCCGCCTGCCTGGCTAATGCTAATAATATTAGCATGTCGGGGAAGTAAAACTGGTCGGTGAGCGACAGTATTTCTACTAGAAACTTTGAAAGAGCTCAAAATGATCTGTATTACCTGTAGCTCAGTCAGGGAGTGCAGTAACGTTTCCACCATCATTAAAACCTGTCGTGGGTCCATTATGGGTGCTCAGCTTTGTTTACGTTCATCCCGGAAGTAGAACTTCTTCTGTGTTTTTTCAAGTAAAGTTTACCACTCTGCGCATGTCAGTACTTCTGTTCAGAACAAAGCCAGCTGCATGTAAACGCTCGTCATGAACGAATTGTGCCCATGTAAACGATACATTTGAATTATTTAATCTGAAAACATTTCAATCTGGTCAAAGAATTTTGCGCATGTAAACATAGCTATTGAATCACAAGGACCCACTCCCCAAGAGAGATGTGTATTGAACAGCTACGTGTGAGTCCGGGTGTGACAAGGTTAAAATGTTTTGGCAGCATGAAGCTTGTTAGCCCGTCAAAAAAATAAAAAAACATAAATCCATAAATTAGTCGCAGCATTGTATAAGCTAAGCTGCGTCTTATAGACAAGGTGGGCTGGAAGCCCTAGATGGCAGCTCTCTGCTCCACACAGAGGGCTGTGGTAGCTCGGTGGTCTGTGGTTTTGTCAGGAAGGGCATTCGGTGTAAAAAAAAATTGACAAGTCAACGTTTGCTGTGGCGACCCCTGACAAAGTGAGAAGTCGAAAAAAAATAATTTGTACAAGCCACAGAGTTTAAAGTGTGTGAGTAAAGCAGCGGCTTATAGTCTGGAAATTACGTTAACTTAATGCAGAGGAGGGAGGGAAGTTGGAGAGAGTAGAACTTTCCTTGTCAGAATCAGTTAAGTTTCTGGATACCTGCCCTACATGCATCTAGACAGAAAGCTCAACTGGAACAGATGTGTAAATTAAAAGTGCATGAAGGCCAGAATGTGCTTACATCAGTGCCACAGAATTGCAAGTAGTCATTGAGGTGCTACCCCATAGTTATCAGATAGCTACATGGCCACAGTTTGTCCCATGCTATGCTAAGCTGCTTCAGTATGGTGGGCGTAAGTCCAAGTCAAGGTGGCAAGAGTGATGCCCACCCATGTGCAACAAATGGCCTGCCTGAGCAACACAGGTTAGAATAACACCCACATTGGCCCTTAAAGTTCTAATGGACCCGACTACACTGGAGTTGTATACTGTATCTTGGGGGAGGCTGCATCCAGTGCAGTGAGGTTACACCAGACTGGGAGACAAAAAAACTTATCTGATTTGGAGCATATCTGGGACAGGGCAGTGGCTGCTATTAGAGTAATGGCAAAACCTGGAGACAGTATGGTAGAAAATAAAATACAACTTTGAGCCAAGTTTTCAGACAGAAATTGAAGATAGATCTGCCTGGAGCAACCTCTATGGTGTACCTGTCTCCCAGTCAATTCTACTGTTTTACAGATGGCTCTCTTTTGAAGGGGTCCGTAGGTACAGGGTTGCTTAACAGATAGCCAAACTGCTATTAGAGCTCTCCAAGGGCCACACTTTACATCATTACTAGTTTGGAAGTGTGCCGAAGCAGTCAATCAACTGTGGAGAGGTAACAGTGTCACTGTTATATTGGTATCAGAACATACTAATATTAATGATAATGAAAGAGATGACTACCTTGCAAAAGGTGGCAGTCTGGACCAATTCATTGGACCAGAGCCTGTTGTAGGTATTTCAACAACAGCAACAGAACTGCCCTACAGGCTTGGATTAGATGTCAACACTCAATCCGCTGGAGGGAGCTGACGGACTGTAGACAGGTGATCTGATTAACGGTCCAAATCCTAGGTTTGGGAAAGCTCATCGCCCTGACAAGGAAAACTTTAAGTGCATTTGTTGGAGTTCTAACTGGGCACAACCTGCTCAACCGCCACAAAATGGTGATGGGACAAAATGCCAGTGGACTCAATGTCTAATTCAATGCATGTGGCAATTAATTAGAGACCTCTTTGAACTATTTAGGTCATTGTCTGGCTCTGAGCAGTTATAAAGAAATAATTATTGGGGAACCCTTCATGGATCATGAGAACCTCAGAACACTGAATGTTTCAGACCTTGTGTCATTCATCGAGAGACACAAAGGTTTGAATAAAACTCAGTCTTTTCGGGGAGAGCAAAGGGCCCAACTATGAGGCCCCTGCTCATATGGGTTCTCCCTCCATCCCCTACTTACCAAAACACAATACCATTCTATTAAAAATATGTTTAGAAAAATTTATAGCTTTGGCTCATTATGTGTAGCATGATGATGAAAGCTGATTGTACAAGTTCTTTATTAAGCTACGAGAACTTTGAAAAGACATGATCAACACCTGTCTTAAACCTTTAAGCTTTGGATAAAAATTTTAAAAAGTAGTGCGAATAAAATAGAAATCTGAGCTTGAAAAAAAATCATAACTGGAATAACAGTTTTGTTTGGTAGATTTTTGACCAAGATGCCCAAAAAGTATTCAGCTATCACAAAATATATATTCATAATTCATATATATATATATATATATATATATATATATATATATATATATATA